TGTGTATCAGTCAATGGAATCACAGTCACACCTCTTGTCTTTATGCTAAATGGTTCCGATGTGTTACAATTTATGTGATACAATGCATTGACTAGTAGAAAACCATTAGATGTGTTGTTAGTGATCACTGCAACATGAAGCCAATTGTTATGATTAATTCACAAATCTTTTCTTCTAACTAACATAAAGACGTGATCAGGATCCTCAAAAACAATCACTAAAACTATAATCACCCCAAGAACAACCTCGAGAGAAATACAAAACCAAAAAACAAACACATATTGAAGTTCAGAGCCAAGAACATATCATAGCCTACATACTCCACATCCAGTGAATCCATGAAAGAAACGAAAGAAAAATAATTATTAAGAACAGTATATACATAAGAGTGGGGTACTAATCAATTTTTAATGGGAGCTAAAAATCACTTGTCTTGAATGAGGGTCATTGAGGCCCAATGGATTTGGATTCTGAGTTCTACTAAGGCCCAATCGGATCATAATTTCCAAATTCTAGATAGAATGAAGTCCCAAAAAGGCAACAAAAAATTGATTACTTGGTGGTGGATTCAAAAGAGAGTGATGTTATTTACCAATGTTTATATACTTAATTTATTAGTTTTTCTAAATAATATAACTAATAAATTAAGTATAAATATCTCTATTTGGTAAATGTACCCATAATTATTTTAATTACAGTAATACTACGTTTACATCAGTTTCTGACATCACTCTCTCACATCATGACGTGGCAGATGACGTGGCACTGTCATCTCATCTACCACTTCACCAAACTGCCACATCACTTCCTCCTAAAACTTAATTTTTTTTTTTTTTCAAAATACCCTAAAATTTGAAATCTCCACTTTCCCTCAAACAAATCAAATCAATTTCAATTTCCCTAAAATAGGGGACCCAACAAAATTCTCCCCAAATTTTCTTTCAATTTTGAAAACGCTAGCCACCACATTCTCCAATCTCAGTCACCACCGTAGCCACCACCATAGTCGCACCAGGTCGTCGCCATCCACCATCCCAAACACCCTTCACTCTACTGATAGAAGGTAGCATTTCAATTAACTCTACTAACACTCGTGATTTGTTTTTTTGTTGCATGTCGATCCTAAGAACCACTCTTGGGGGGTTTGTCATTTATTAATAATGGAGTCAATTTGTTTGTCCAGCAAAAGTTATTGAAGGGTTAACAGTTGGAGTTCCTGTGTCCAGGAGGCCAGGGTAGAGGCGAATAACCACCCCAAAAAAAGAGACTTATACATGCAAGATTCAGTTTGGTGTTTCTGACGGTTTGATTTTTGTCTTGAAATATTATTATTCCATGTCTTATCTTGTGTCTCTTCAGCCAAACAAATGGTGGCACCTTGTCATTTTTATTTTACAAATGGATTGAGTCATATCTGAATAATTGCAGGGATGACCAAGTTAAAGTGTAAGTGTTAGTGTTGATGAGTTAAGAGTGTTGCCTTTTCCCGTTTGCTTTTGTCTTGTTTGCACATCTCAATGTATATGGAAAGAAGCTTGTGCTTTTATCCTTTATTTTCTTTCTGTTATAAAGTTCTCTAAAATTTCACTAGTCTATTGTGTATATGTGCATTGCCCATTGATGCTTCCATTTTTTGTTCTGCATTGTTTTTTTCAATTATAATTGTTATTTTCCATTCCCTTTTATGAAGATATTTATTTGTTTTGTTTCTTCTTTTTTCAAGGGTACTCTTAAATCACCATTGTCCCGTAGGAGAAGAAAACATGCGCTTCTTGCCAAACAATGGAAGAGCTTATTTACACCAATGGAAGACTTATTTTCCATCATAGGTAGAAGTTAATTAAATTTTGGAGTTTCTTTAGTTGACTATGGTCTAATGTTTCTTCTCCATTTTCCATCATAGGTAGATGTTAATTTAATTTTGGAGTGAACTATTTTTTTTTATGTTTTTGATTTATTTTTTAAATCAGACCAGTTTTGAACAGATTTCCTAATTAAATGCAGATCAAGGCTGAATTTTGATTTTTGGTGGGATTGTTGGAAGTTTGTGTGTCTTTGCACTTGCTGTTTGTACAATGTTTAGGAGTTTTCTGCAGCTTGTGTAGTTTGTGCAGTTTATGTTTTTTTGCTGTTTTCGAAAGAACTTTACAGTTTGTACAATTCTTTTTTTGTTGATTATGAAGCTTGGGCATTTTTTTTTGAGTTTCCAGGAGTGTTATGCAGTGATTGCAGTGTTTGGTTGGCTGGTCGTGAAGTGTGGGCATGTTGAAGTTACTACAACAGAAAGCTGCTTTCTTTTGTGCCTGTGTGGTGTTTCTAGAGGAGAATTTCGGGAAGGTGCTGGTTGTGGAGTTGCAGCTTAATTGTTGCATTTTTCTGCTATTCCATGGACAGTTCTGCAGGTTTTACAGTTTCTTGTTTGCTGGAAGTGAAGTTTATTCTGGGGAGGCTGCTTGGATGTTCCCGACTATTCTAGACTTACAGTTTCCGGGAGTGTTTTTTCTGGAGTTGCAGCTCAATTGTTTGCATTTTTGCAACTTGTGCAGTGTTGTTCAACATCTAAAAACTGATTTTTTGTTGCAGCTTCAGCAATGTATAGTTTGTTGGATACACATTTCATTTGAGTTAAAAGTACTTTTACAATTGTACTCCTTTAACACTTTTGATTTGAGTTAGAAGTACCTTTTACAATTGTATAGTTTGCTAGATACACATTTCATCTGAGTTATATCTACTTTTACAATGTATAAATTACTTTTACAATGTATAAAGTACTTTTACAATTGTACTCCTTAACACATTTCATTTGAGTTAGAAGTAACTTTTACAATTGTATAGTTTGCTGGATGCACATTTCATTTGAGTTAAATCTACTTTTACAATGTACTCCTTAGTTAGAAACTAGCCATCTTGTAATCAAATTAAATACAACAGCATTAACTACAAAGGTACAAATGGTCTTTATACTCAAAAAACAAAGTGAGATTACATAGTCATGTTGAGATGAGAGCCATAATGGCACTAAATTTACCATAATAGCATTAACTACAAAGGTACAAATGGTCCCTAATAGCACTAAATTTACCATTTGTAGATTCTACTTAAGCCCCACACCTGTGTGAAACATTTTTGCCAACTGGTAAAATGCCTTCTGGTGAGCTACATTGGCAACCATTAAAAAGTATGATAGAAGTAAAGTGAAGTACCACCAACTGTATATTGTGAGACGATACTTCAATCAATAATTTGCATATGAAGGTGATGGCCTGTAGGTGACAGACAGTTCAGCGTAACCCTGGGCAGTGAAAAGACAACAACATTAATATTATAACCTAAAACACATTTCAACCTAAAGGATTCATACCTAACTTAATATAGGGACTCCTACTTCACGTGGGTGGACATTACTCACATATGCACTAGCTTCAGTTGATTCTTTTGATTCTTGGGAACTCCAAGCCAGCAATCAAATTAAATTTATAAATACATAACATTTATTAACATATTTTAAACGTTATAAAATTAGATGTGACACTCACTTGGTTAAGCAATTTCTTCCCTTTAAATTTACGTACAATCTGCTCGACCTTTGATTGCTTTCTTTTGAATGGTGGTCGACCTTTCGTACGAACAACTGATGGAGTCAGAATGTTATTGCTGCCCTCTATGGAAGTAGAGTGAACACTATTACGGTCCTAGACACCTTTAGATGACATGTTTAGGCAGCTATCAATCCCGCCAACGCCAACATTCGATACTAATTTGTTCTTCATGACTAATCATTTGCATGACTACATTACAATTATCGTCATTGCTTGATGTCAAATCTGCCACTGCACAGAATGAATTAGACAACTTATCAAATCATTGTCCTTCAACAATCGTGCTCCAACTATTATAACTTATCCTAACTTTGGTGTGACATCTGTATGCATTTTTCCTCCACCACCTTAAAATGTATTTTTTTGGAATAAGATAAATTTTTTTATGAATCAACACTGCAATTGCATGTCGACATAAAATCCCTCTAAACTCAAACAATTGACAATTGCAACGAACCTCGGGAACACGTTCATCAAAGCAAACTACAAAAGGAACATGACGGTAGCTCTCTCCAACCAGTATATCTTCCTCGACTACATATTCGATATTGGAATCAGTCTCCTTGAAAGAATGAATCTGACAATAGAGCTTAGCAACAAGCTCTTTTTGAAACTCTTTGAATTTTGCAGTAATGTATGCATCTTGAAATTGTTTCTCCATCGGATAAGTGGTTATACAAGAGATCCATGATTTGAATGACTTGAAATCAGCTTCATTTTCTTTTTCCACTTTATCACGCAATGCATTCTCATATTGTTCCACAAATTGTTTTAATGTGGTTTTCAAATTTACATACCCATCAAAAAATGAATGCATACTTTCACTACGTTGAGTAGTAGACATACCTACCCAGAAAGTATTTTTTAAAAATTCCTGGCACCCACCGATATCTTTCATTATACAAACCAAGTAACCAGTCATTTTCGTGAAGGCTGTGTTTATCAATGAACCTATTGCAGCGTTCTTCAAACTCCTCACGCGTTAGTGAATCATACACGGCATTTTGCAAAGCAAACTTTATATGTTCATATTCACAATAACCACTTAACTTTTTCGGCAACTTCTTCATTATATGCCACAAACACCATCTATGTCATGTATCAGGAAACACAATCTCGATTGCATTTTGCATTGCCTTGTCCTAATAAGTGATTATAGCGTTAGGAGCAGAATTCCACATACATGCAAGTCAAGATTCAAAAAGCCATACAAAAGTTTGTGTGTCCTCGTGGGAGACTAACCCGCAACCTAACAATGTGGAATGGCCGTGATGGTCAACACCGACAAACGCAGCAAATGGCATATCATACTTGTTAGTCAAATATGTCGTGTCGAATGACAACATCGCCGAATTCCCTAAATGCGGCCTTACTTCTTGCATCCACCCATAGAACATTCTACAATCGACCATCCTCATCTAAATCCATAACGTAGAAGAAATTTGGATTATCTTTTTGCATCTTCAGAAAATATTTTTGGATTGCAATAGCATCCCCAACACCAAGTCGGGTCTTCCTAACCTTTTCAATGTAATTCCTACAATCCTTTTGTAAGAAAGTCAAATTCTTAGCACCATCAGCTTCAACTAACAAGGAATTAAAATTTTTATTAGATCTAATCCTAGCCTTATCATTCACTTCAAGCTTCCTTTTCACATATGGCTGTATAATTCGATTGCTCTTGAAAAATCCAGTTTTGCTAGGACTACTGAGTTCATGGTTATACTCATAGATGATCGACACTATTTCCCATTTTTTATCAGAATGTCGAGATGCAGTACAACGAGCCTTACAACCACTTTTTGTCAATGGTACGATTTTACAAACATTTCTGGAGTTACTTTCTCGCTTCCCACCACAAGAACAAGCCACATTTGCATAAATCAACTCCCCATCAACTCTTTTTCTTGAAGATCTTATAGCAACTTCAAACCCTATTTTATTCCCATAGCTCTTGTAGTATTGAAAAAACTTATCAAACGATTCATAAAACATTCCAGGTTCAGGTTTGCATTCCTCTTCTAAACTTCTGTTATCTTCCATTTCTTGAAAATCATTATCCTAATATATTGAAATTATAATAGCCTAAAATTAGAATACAATAATACTAAGAAAAGGTAGAAATAATACCATTAAAGTAATTACAAACATATTAATGAATAAAAAAGAGATTAGAAAGACAAACTTACCTCCACCATATTGAATTGAGAGGAATGGTTCTCTGCTTTTTTCAAGTTACACTCCTCCATCTTTAAAGTGGTGGTGGAAGAGGATGAGCAAACGCTGACAGTTTATGGTAGTGGTGCGGTTTGAATTGGTCGTACTACAAGAGACACTGGATGTGTAAAACGGTTGTAATTGGTGGTGGTGGCGTGCTCAATTAAGAAGTCTGCACACACAAAAACTTTTAATGTAAACAATAAAACCTATATTAAAGCATGTCAACAACAATTTCAACCAATTGAAATTTGAGCTACAACCAAGAACCAAAAAATATATATATATATATATATATATATTAAAGAAATAGAGAAATCAAGAGAGTTGCATTTTAAAAAATTCAGCTACAGTGAGAAGCAACAGAAATCAAGAGAGTTGCATTTAAATATGCTAAGCCATAGCACACACCAAGCTAAATTGGTATGAATCTTTCTGTTTTTTTTTTTTTTTTTTTTTTTTTTTCAATTCAGTTCCTAATTTGTACCATGGAAGACATTAATAAACTGGAATCAAGGTAAGAGGACATAACAAGCCACACATTCCAGACAGGTTGCCATGTATCAAGAATTTCAAAGGACCGCATTAACCTAAAGGCTATCAAAAAAATTTGAAACAAGCCCTATAGAGAGAGAGAATTATGTCTAAATCAAACAAATAAATGTATCACATGCATGATTAAGGTTAAAAAACAATACACAAGCTTAAACATGAAAGAAGATTCTTATACTTCAAGGAGGAATGGCCAAACCTCTGCTTCTACACCCTGCATTGCAGAATGAAGAATGAATACTCACAACAATATGAGAGAGAGAATGATAAAACAAAGTGGTCACAATTGAAAATTATATGGAATGAATAAGTTGGCATATAAGTCTGATCAAAATTTTAATAACATACCCCAACACGGACTTACACCACCTTCAACAAGTCTTCCATTGGTGTAAATAAGCTCTTCCATTGTTTGGCAAGAAACGCATGTTTTCTTCTCCTGCGGGACAATGGTGATTTAAGAGTACCCTTGAAAAAAGAAGAAACAAAACAAATAAATATCTTCATAAAAGGGAATGGAAAATAACAATTATAATTGGAAAAACAATGCAGAACAAAAAATGAAAGTGTCAATGGGCAATGCACATATACACAATAGACTAGTGAAATGTTGGAGAACTTCATAACAGAAAGAAAATAAAAGATAAAAGCACAAGCTTCTTTCCATATACATTGAGAGGTACAAACAAGACAAAAGCAAACGGGAAAAGGCAACACTCTTAACTCATCAACACTAACACTTACACTTTAATTATTCAGATATGACTCAATCCATTTGTAAAATAAAAATGACAAGGTGCCACCATTTGTTTGGCTGAAGAGACACAAGATAAGACATGGAATAATAATATTTCAAGACAAAAATCAAACCGTCAAAAACACCAAACTGAATCTTGCACGTATCGGCCTCTTTTTTTGGGGTGGTTATTCGCCTCTACCCTAGCCTCCTAGACACAGGAACTCCAACTGTTAACCCTTAAATAACTTTTGTAGGACAAACAAATTGATTCCATTATTAATAAATGACAAACCCCCCCAAGAGTGGCTCTTAGGATCGACATGCAACAAAAACACAAATCACGAGTGTTAGTAGAGTTAATTGAAATGCTACCTTCTGTCAGTAGAGTGAAAGGTGTTTGGGATGGTGGATGGCGACGACCTGGTGCGACTATGTTGGCGGCTACGGTGGCGGCTGAGATTGGAGAATGTGGTGCCTAGCGTTTTCAAAATTGGAAGAAAATTTGGGGAGAATTTTTTTGGGTCCCTATTTTAGGGAAATTGAAATTGATTCAATTTGTTTGAGGGAAAGTGGAGATTTCAAATTTTAGGGTATTTTGAAAAAAAAAAAAATTAAGTTTTAGGAGGAAGTGGTGTGACAGTTTGGTGACGTGGCAGATGAGATGGTAGTACCACGTCATAATATAACTAATAAATTAAGTATAAATATCTCTATTTGGTAAATGTACCCATAATTAATTTAATTAACTAAAATATCCGCCTTCAGCAAATACTATTTTATTATAAACTAAACTAAGAAAGTGCTTCATTGATTAGCTGAAATAAATTTTGACTGCTATACTTTACCTCTTTTGGTAATCTCAGTGGCTGCTCCTGAATTAAGGCCCAAGGCCCAACTTCAAATTGAACTTGGGCAACCATCTGCCCATCTACTAAAACGCTCCTTGACCCGTGTGATTAAAATGTTTATTAAAAATTTGGTTATTTTACTTGTTATATTTATAGTATTAATTTGTTGAGTAGTAAAAGTGTGTAAAACGCACTATGAGAAAATTAATTATTGACTAATTATTTAGTGGGTATGTATTTTTCTTAAAATTTTCAAATTAAATACCATACGCTTTTATAAACTCGCCAACTTGACTCACTGAAATCATCACTCATCAACCTTTACTTTCCTCTCCACCGTCGAAGAACTCCAACTCTTGACACTCGTTGAAAGCCTGATCACCTCTCAAACTCATCTCCGATATGAAGTAAAATCTCATTGATACCTATAAAAAAATTCACCTTTAAAAAGGAACCCACCAAAATCTGGATGCTTAACTCAAATAATAATAAATGGATTATGTATGCTTTTAATATATAGTATGATGTATAAACTACATTTTTTCAAACTAATTGGTCTCCCATGTTTTTCCACTCTTGTAAATTTAATAATAGAAGATTATAATAAATAAATTAGACTATTGTAAGGGTTAATGAGATGTCAAAACCATCATCAATCCAAAGCAATGAACCACGAGGTCCATGATCATTTCACCAGGGGTTAAGGACCCTCATATCTCTCACGTTCACTTGCCACTTGAGGTCGTCCTCTGCAAAGATTAGCCGTTCATTGATTATAAAGCATGCCTATGTATTATTCAATAGAATCACGGTCACACCCACACCTCTCGTCTCTACACTAAATGCTTCTAATGTATTACAATTTATTTTTAAAATACTTATTTTGAGTTAGACATTAAATTAAATACCCAAAAAAAAAAAAATAACAAGTCAATTAAAAACATTAACTTTTTAATAGCGAGAAATGTTGTATATATATCATGAATAATAAACAAAATTATCTTATTAAGATACCATATCGAAGATGTTGAATTTAGTAATTTATTGTAGATTTATGATTTGTTGGTTTTTATGAAATGGTTTAATCAATTTGATAACAATAAATTTAATCCATGGTATTTTATTTTGAGTAATGCTACAGTTACCGAATGATGTGTACCGAATTCATGCACCAAATGACGTAGCGTAATCTTGATCGTTGATTCATTATAAATTAATATTAATCAATGGTCAAGATTTGTTACGTTATTCGATACATAGATTCGGTGTGTAATTTTCGATAACTCTATTATTTTTCTTATATTTTTATCGAATTGAGATATGAAATTACCTACTTTGGTGGTGTTCTAAGTATATTAACAATGTTATGATATCTACCAACTTTCTGGCCTCTAGATTCTAGAACATTGATTATATAATCTTATAATATATATATAGAGAGAGAGAGAGAGAGAGAGAGAGTATTATCTTGAATTTAATATTTATAATTTTGTAATGGAAATAGGAAGTGTATACCGACACTTACATCACATCAATCAGTTAAGTGGGGTTTATAATTTAATAATTATGATTAGTTCAATATACTATACGTAATAAAATTATACAAATTTTAAAAATCTTGTTAATCTTGTTATTGACAAAAGGGTTCACTATATTACAAATACATTATTAACACAGTAATAATCTTTTATCAATTGGTCAAATTTCACAACCACAATTAATGTTAATAATACAGTCAAAATTAGCCGCCAAATGTTTTCAATTGAAACAAACAAATTTTGACTATCATATTGTGTGTGGCACCCCATTTATCTATCCTTTACATTGTTTTAATTTTCTTTTAAATATGTTTATATCTCAAATGCATGTCCTGGGTAATGTTTAAAAGTCAATGGGATAATGAGTGCATAATAATAATATTTTATTTAAAGGATAAATGAGAGAATTTATAAGGACTTACTGATAAGTGCTGTCATGGCATGGGTAAATCATAAGAGTTTGGTAGATTAAATAAGGAAAGGGAAATATGAGAAAATCCTATCACCTCCCACACCAAACCACCATCGACCCATCTCGTCTCCCTGATATCTTCGTCCTTGAAGAACTCATACTCTCTCCCCTCGTGTGAATTCCCATCATTTCTCCAACACGTCTCATATTTGAAGCAAAATATCGATAATTTTTTGGCCAAGTTTATCCCAAAAAAATAAAATAAAAAAAATCACTATGCCTTAAAATTTAAACTCTATGAATTCGTAGTACCAACCTAGAATTCACTTTTAGTTAATATGTTAAATATTTTAAGAAATTCACTATGCCTTAAAATAAAATTTAAAATTTATGTACTATTTAAGTGTGAAGTTTAACTTGCCTTCAACTTGAAGTAATCTTAGTTCTTCTGTGGATGTGTCGTGGTCAAGCTTGGCAATACAATCTCCTGCGGTTTCTTTGACTTTGAATTAATCTGGGCCGTTAAACCTAACGTGCATTTGTGACTTTCTCGAACTACTATAATTAATAAATTAAATTTACCAGAATAAATAAGATAAAAAGAGTCATTTATTTTGTAAATATGACCCTACTTAAGTAATCTATCCACCTCCATATATTTGATTTTTTATGAACGACGAGGTTGCTTGATTGTTTATACAATCATCATTGATTAGCTGAAATCAATTTGATGTCGGGGAAATCAAAGTAGTCAAAGTTAGAGTGCTGAAATCAATTTGATGATGAGGAATCATTTTGTTTGGAAGTACGTTTCAAAGTCGTACTTTGAGACTGATTGATGCGTTATTGCGGCATTATTATTTAATCTATATTTATTAATTAGATTAAATAAGGCCCAATCGGATCTAGATTTCAAATTCTTGATAGAATTTTTAATTAGACTGTGTAACACTGATAATAATATAATTAAAGTGACTATCATATCGAATTGTTAAGCATCTCTTGATAGTTTAGCAGTTAGTTTGAAATTTTTAAATATATTATTTTAAATATCTTGACTTTGAATCTTCCTAATTATTAATAAGAATAAAGAGTATCAATAAAGGATAATCATTAAAGATTTGTCTAATTATTTATTTTAATAGAAATTATTATTATTAAATAGTAATTATTAGAAGCTTATATAATTGTTAATTTCAATGGAGACTATTAATAAGAGATAATCAGACTTATTTGACTGTTAACTTCAAGATCCTAAAAAATTAGTTTGAACACCCTAAACACACCAGAAGAAAAAATATATATATATAGAATCATTTAAAAAAATCGAGAGACTGCAGAGCGCCGTCTAAGCAAGTGTCCTTTTAATGGTTGTTTTGTTTTGGCGTTGAATGGTTGTTAGAAATCTAATCCCTTTAACGAAAATAAAAAAATATGTTACATTATAGCAAGTTGATGAGTTTATAATTCATCAACCGGAGCTAAGAAAACTTTTAAATCGTTATTACAACAGCTTCTAATCTTCAGACAATGGTTCCGATTCCGAGATTTCTTATCCTTCTATTCTTCTTCCTGTCCTTAAGCAGCACATATGTTGCCGCAACGAATCATGTTGTGGGACAAGTTTCTGGTTGGGATCTTGATTCTGACGTTGCTGAATGGGCTGCCTCCACTACGTTTCGCGTTGGAGATACTCTAGGTAATTCATCTTCATCTTCTTAATTCTTTTTTTTTTTTTAAACACAACTATTATGAAGAATGATTCACCATCAATTCTTGGTGGTAGTGTTCAAATACTCGCCGGAGTATGATGTGCAGGAGGTGGGCCAACTGGCCTTCACGACGTGCGATACAACGAATCCAATCAAAGAATACAACGATGGTTTCACCACGATCATGCTCACTGAACCCGGCACACGATACTTCATTTGCGGTCAACTTGGACACTGCGATAGCGGCATGAAGATGGAGGTCGACGTTCTCTCTCTGCCTCCGCAAGCAAACAGATACAAAAATAATCCGTGACGGTGTCTTGGTTTGCGTATAAATTAGGTATTAGATGGTTCAAAGTACTAAAATGAATATTGATGGTTTTTTATTTGTCTTCCACAAATATATTAATTATTTAAGATGTATAGTGGGGATCTATCATTTGGATCGTGCTCTTTAATATTCTTTAAAATTGATTTGGATCGTGCTCTTTAATATTCTTTAAAGAAAGAAGAGATTATGATTCGAAGAATGATTTCTAGATGGGTCAGTTAATGCTTTTACTGAGAATAACTGCATGTTTACCATATGTTATATTGAATACCAATGTGCAATGTCTTCCCTACGACTAGCGAAAGTCAATTTCTGAAATATAAGAGGAAGAATTCAAGAAACCCATAAGGTCCACCAAATGCCAGACCAAACTTGACAGAAGAAACAACAATTAATGCTGGAGCGTCTCACAAATCGCCACCAAATTCGTTTAGAAACTCGCAAACTCGACTCACCCGACTCATCCACCACCACCTTCCTTCCCCGCTTTAACGACTCCAAAAACTCCATCACTTCTCAGCTCCAAACCACCACAGACCCCTCTCGCCTCCCTGATATCTCCGCCCTTGTGAAACTCGTCGCCGAGAACTCCTACTTCCTCCCCTCCTAAGAAGTCCGATCATCTCTCAAAACCATATCGGATTTGAAGCAAAATCTCGAGAACTTGTAGGCACAGTTGATCCCCAGAAAGAAATTAGCCTTCAGAAACAAACCCAGCAAAACCCAAACCCAGATCCCATAAAATGATGTCGTTTAAGAACCAAATGAAACAAAACCAAAGTCAAATTTCGCGGTGCATGAATCCCCGGGTTTTCGAGATAAACAAAACGAAGTATTGTTCCGAGGCTTTAAGGGTTCCGAAATGGGAGAGTTTACGTTAGCGGGTTTGGACTCGTGTGAGGTGAGATTAGTGGGTTGTGTGAACGCTCTGTTTGTTAATAAATTAAAGGGTTGTAATGTTTACGTGGGTCCTGTGACGGGTTCGATTTTGATTGAAGAAGTTGAGGGTTGTGTGTTGGTTTTGGCTTCGCATCAAATTAGGATTCATTTTGCCAAAAGTTGTGATTTTTATTTGAAAGTTAGGAGTAGGCCGATCATTGAGGATTGTAATGGGGTCAGATTTGGGCCGTATTGTTCGAAATATGAGGGGATTGAGGAGTATTTGGAAGCCGCCGCGTTGAGCGAGGAGACGGGTAGTTGGGGCAATGTGGATGATTTCAGGTGGTTGAGAGCTGTTCAAAGTCCCAATTGGTCGGTTTTGCCGGAAGATGAGAGGCTTGGGACTGTTGATCTGGAGGATTTGGGACGTGGGAATGGTGCGAGTTAGCATACCCACTTGTTTTTAATTATTTTTAAGCAATATGTAGCCATCACATATGGTTTAAATGATTCGATACTAGCCGGGAATACATAGTAAAATCTAAAAGCTTAGTCAAATTTTACGGCTTACAGAGAAAAGAAGGGTCTATACTCTATATTGTAAATCTGTTATATATCTTCTCTTCTCGTTGTCTTTACATAACTAATTAATCTGGACCTCTAGTGGTGCTGACCTCTAATCCAAATTAGACAGTTGTCAGCCATGCATGAATTGAATTCAACTCTAATGAAGATTCTTTAAAATAAGGTTTTATTTTACAGAAGCCCACGCTCTTCCCTTGGAGAGGAGTTCCTTTAAGTCAACTATTTGTCTTTCAATTTATTATTGACTTTAATGTGTGATTAACATCATATTTGATTATAATTATTTAATTTATAAATAATAAAAATAAATTAGAATATCTATAACTACATACTATAAGGATTGTAACAAATTAATTTTTACATTCTTTATTAGTTACAAATTCAAATAATTTATAGCTAATACACACATATTAGCTATATATTTAAACTAGTAGCTGATAATGATACTATAATATTGTTATTATCGTGAAAATAAAATTTGTATAGCTAAATACCTTAATTAACTACAAATTTCAATATTTTATAGCTAATGCACAAATAATAGCTTTATAATTAAACTCATAACTAATAATGATACTATGTGCTATGTAAATAAAATATTTATAGTTAAATATATTAATTAGCTACAATGTTTTACTATAGCTAACATATTGTAGCTAAATGATTAATTATTGTCACAATTTTAATAAGTTAAAGCAAGAAATGAATATTAGCTTCGAGGGAGGAAGTTTTATCACTAAAATTATTTCAATTAACTATAAATATTGATTTTTGTAGGTGTAAATATGCATTTGCTACAGTTTTCCTTTCTGCAGCTAATTTAATAGTTATATGTCTATAATGTTATAGTGTTACATGCTCAGGTTTGGCTTCTTATTATGCATTATCTTCGGTTCTTCTATAGCATTGCACAAATTTGGCTTATTATTCAATGGTTGTTACATCATGATAATTTAAGAAAATTGTGATCATGTTTTTATGAGTATTAATTTTATAGTTGTCTTTGATGGTCCACGGAATATAATTGAACCCTATATATTGGCCAATATAATTCTAATTGATTTACAAATTTGTGGTGGTGATGGGACAGTAAAATTTATCTTTCAACATTGTTTGGCCTAGTATTAAAAAATGATGGTTACTTTTATGTTTGGTGGTTACTTTGTTGTTCTCTATTCAATTAGTGGTTATTTTGATGGTTACTTTTATGTTTGGTGGTTATTTTGTTGTTCTCTGTTCAATTGATGGTTATTTTGATAGGATTAGTCACAAATTTTACCTTCTTTGGTGGTTACTTTGATGTTCTTTGTTCAATTGATAGAATATTAAATAATGGCATATTTTTCTGTGTAGGGTATGATTCTAGCTATGATTTCAAGTATAGAGTTGATGTTAGAAAGATGGAGACATCATGGAGGCAAAGAAATTAAAGTATTCCAAGAATTTGCCGTTTGGACAGAAGAAATTATTTCCACTTCCAGGACAGGTTTTGGAAGCAGTTACTTAAAAGGCTAAAATATATTTAATATGTTGACAAGGTTGGGTGTAATCATTATAAAATTAAAACTCCTGATCAGATAAGGCAAAGCTTCCTCTCTATAATTTTTGTAATTTGTGGCTACTTGATTATACATTTTTGCTTCTCTATTAATTCTACAGTATCATTTTTTATCTTTGCAGAAAGTACGTGGAAATTTGCTTTCTTTGTATTGGATTTCCTATATATATATATGCACTGCAGTTTTATGAGCTGGATTCTTATTTTCAGATATTAGTAATGCTAATACTTAATTTTATTTGGGTTTAAACTGACAAAACTTAAATATAAATGTCAGTGTAGGGTTGCAACAACTATAAGGACAAAGTGGTGATTCTGAAAGTTTTAAACTTTAAAAAATCCAATGGTAACTTCATTCATTTAAAAATTATTTTTAATAAAAAATTGGAAGGACAAATTGGTAATTTATCTTGCTATATATAATTGACAGTATATCAGTTATTTATATTTAAAGAATGGGTATATTGGTAATTAACTCAATTGTTATGACAAATTAATAAAAATTATAAAGTGAAATATTTAAGGGTATTTTTATCTTTTTAATCAAATATTAATAGAAAACCCTAACAAAACCTGACAAAGGATGGCAAAGTGTTATTTTAAAACTTAACAGGTGGAAAAGTATCATTTCGTCAAACCTTGGGTGGGAAAATGTTATTCTCCCACACTTCATTTGTGACCAACTTGGACACTGCAATAACGGCCTCAAAAGGGCGGTCGACGTTCTCTCTCTGCTTCCGCAAGCAAACAGATACAAAAATATCCCATGAGGTGTCTTGGTTTTGCGAGTAAGATAAATTATGTACAGGATTGTTCACCGCAATCAAATTAATATTATTATTATCTTTGATGCTTCTTGACCTATCCCAGATCGATTTAGATCTTTGTAAAATGTGTTGTTTAATATACTTTAAAGAAATTAACCAGATTGGGTAAGATTCGAAGAATGATTTCTCGATGGGTCAATTAAAAATTATGACGTGCTGACAATAACAGTTTGACATGTGTTATTTTGAATAGTTATTATTTGACCGTCATCTCCTCACACTCATGAATAGATAACGCAATAATCCGAACTGTTACTTTAAATGTATGACTTTTTTTTCTAAATAATATAACTAATAAATTACGTATAAATATCTATACTTGGTAAATTTACCCATAATTAATTAATTAACATATCATTTTATTTAAACTAAGATGAAATAAATTTTGACAAATAATCTTTAACTGCTATACCTCTTTAGTAACCAACTGCCCATCCACTAAAACGACTCAATGAGGGTCCTAACCCTTCATCTTTGATGCACTGAAAAGGGGAAAGTAAAGATAAGTCATCTTTGATACGCTGTATGTACATTTTTTTCATAATTTCAAGCTACATCCAAACGAAAAACAACCACCAAGCCCTTCTAAAAGTTATTATCATACTTATAAGTTACCACAAAAAATGGCAAAGATTACCATAGTGAACCATGAGGTCCATGATCATTTCAACAGCACCACAAACACCCACAGAGGTCAAGGAGCCTCATTGGCCTCTTGCACTGGATCTCTCACATTCACTTGCCACTTGAGGTCGTCTCTACAAAGATCAGCCCATTCGCTGATTATAAAGCGTGTCTGTGTATCAGTCAATGGAATCACAGTCAAAGCTCCCGTCTCTACGCTAAATGGTTCCGATGTGTTACAATTTATGTGATGCAATGCACTCACAAATAGAAAACCATCAGGTGTGTTGTTAGTGATCAGTGCAACATGAAGCCAATTGTTATGATTAATTCACAAATCTTTACTTCTAACTAACATAAAGATGTTACAAACCCTGATTAGGATCCTCAAAAACAACCACTAAAGCAATAATCACCCCAAGAGCAACCTCCAAAAAAATACAAACCAAAAACAAACACATACTGAAGTTCCAGAGCCAAGAACATATCATAAGCCTACATACTCCAGAGCCAGTGAAATTTCACAAAGGCAGTAACCAAATGATGCAATATAAATTACATGTGCAGTGCAAATTCTAAAAATGGGCTTTTAACTTTTAGGTCTCTCATTGTAATGTTCTAAGAACAGAGAAAGTTCATATACTAAAGCTCCTGTTCTATGATATTCTTCGTTATAGCAATAGGAGAATGTTTGCAGCTCCTATGTTCTAATTAATTGTACTAGTTCAATAATATTGACACACAAAGTTCTATTTCCATCTTATCATAGAAAGATTCAACAGTTGTATCAGAACTACAAACACTCCAATGGATAGCAAATCGATAAAACTAGCACAGGAAAATAATTGTCCGTTAATTCATGAAAGGAAACGAAAGAAAAATAGGAAGAGAGCAAATAACCATGGCTAAGAGATTCCGACTGAAGAATTAGAACATAGATTCTTAGGATTTTTATGCAACAGAATGAATGTTGGTCTCATGAATACTCCTACTCTTGTATGATTAGAGGTCATTCCTTTGATTTGTAACAAGCTACAGATAGCCTCTCAAGTAATACAAATGTAATCAATCCCCATTTTGTGATGAAAAGTTATTCAAATCAAAGTGGACTCATACTCTTTCTCTGTACAATTCCTGTTACTGGTATTAGAGCCTTAAGAAAAATCCACTCCAAATTCACAAAACAAGCAATCTTTGGTGATGAGGTTCAAGAAAAAATTTTAAGTTTGACCCTGAGGAAGAGGAAGTTGGACACATAGCTACAAAAATTTAAGAATCCAAAATCTGTCTACACATACGTTTCATGAACTAATGGAGACCCTTAAGACACAACCAAAGAATCAACAGCCACTCCACTTGTCTTTAGATCAAGCTTTTCAATAAAATTCAAAGAAATCTCCTACTATCAATCTATAAAAGAAAGAAAGAAAAAAAGAAAAAAAGAAAAAAAAAAAGCAGTTTCTTACTGAATCTGCCATTCAATCCTCACCAGTTCCACCTTCAAACAATAACAATGCTCTATTTCATCATTTCTAACTGGGATACAAGCTTCCAGATACAAAACTCAATATTAAAATTAAAAATTGGGTGGAAGCTTAAAGTAAGCTTGACAAAATGGTAAAGTTAAAGCTCTAAGGATATGGATATTTTTTTTTTTTTTTGTAAAACAGGAAAAAAAAAATTAAGAAAGAAAGAAACTCAGTTGAACTTCTTTGACACATTAATTTGTTTAAAAGAAGACAATACATAAGGTGTTTTACCTCTCTTTCTCAGAATAGTCTCAAGATTTGGGCCTCTTCGTCTCTCTTGGAGGTGCCAAGTGCCCTATCAACAGCCTTCAACATTGACTCTTACAAAGGGTGAAGGGAGTAAAGGAAGCATGGTGGGGATATGATTGAAAAAAGAAAAAGAAACTTGAGTTGGAAGAAGATGATTGTTTCTTTACAGCTCCATTTCCAGATCGAATGGATTTTGATGGAACGGAGATGAAGTTGACTCAACAAATACCAGGTTTACCTCAAATCTGCAATTTTTTATACAAGGATTTTGTCCATAGCGCATATAAAAAAAAACCTTTTAATGTACCAAAAACATAAGATAAAAACATTTAAATATATGGAAGAATAAACTCAAGTCCTAAAGCTCATTTAAGCTTTCGTTTGAGGCTATCTCTCATTCATATCACTAAATCAGAGCTCATTTACATAAAATTAACTAAATTAAGGCCTTCATATGCTCCAAATTCCAAATATTCCCCTTCAAAATCTGTATGCTTTGAAGCCTACTTGCACATCTCAACATAATCATAATTTAATACCATTATTAAATCACAAACCTATGGAATAAAGAAACAAGCTAACCAAGACTGTTACCGAGGGAATCTCAAGAAAAAGTGATTAAAAACGAAGAAATTACTTTGGGAGATGTGTAATCTTAACTGTATTTTCTATAATTTTCACGGTATTAGTGTCAGTACTCATAAAATTCGGTGGTGTGTTAAGTGATTAAACATCTACAGATATAGCGCAACCATTAAAGGATAAAGAAACAAGCTAACCAAGACTGTTACCGCAGGAAAAAGCGATGATCTTTCAGACCCGAAAGTTTTCATAGAGCCGAACCAAACCTTACAAGTCGGTTTGGTCCGATTTCGGTTTTAATGTTTTGGGTAGTTTTCACACCCCTTTTAAATATAGCGCAGCCATTAAAAGAAAACAAATAGAGAGAGAAGCTAACCAAGATTGTCACCGAGAGAGAAAGTGAAGATCGTTCCAGGAGTAGAATCAGACCAGAGAAGGTGATGATCAACTCCTGCGTGAACAAGTACACCTGCAAAAGGAAAAAGAATCAATGCCATGGTTGCCGCCATTGCCCATAAACCTCTCACCGCCATCGTTGTCGTTCTCAAATCTCAACCGCCTTACAAATGTGGGTTGGTACATAATTGCTACACATGTATATATTACTTTTTAAATTAATTAATTAAAAAAACTATCACAATCGTAATTACAAACTACTTTTTTATTTAAAATAAAAAAAGAAAGCACCTAAAATTTCATATCTTAGAACAACCCGATTGGAGATTGATTTCATATCTTCACTAAAATCATAAAAATTGCGAAAAGTTATTAGAAAAAAATAATTAATATACCCAACAAACAATATTGTAATTACGTTAATCAATGTGATTACATTTACATTGGCCCAATAATAACCTTGAATTTTTGTTTATTCTAATTTCTAAATTAAGAATTAATTATTTAATTAGGGGATAAGCATCTATTAAAATAAAAGAAATTTTGTCAAAGATTATCAGGAGTCAGGACAGGCCGCCTTAAGTGCCTTCAACTTGTGCATGTGACACGTGTTGTGGTTAATCTCCTGATATCTTTGACTTTAAATTAATCTGGGCCGTTACAATTAACGACTTTCTAATATTTTACTTTTATTTCATAATATATTATCTGGGACAGTGTTCAGATACACAACGGAGCCAACTGGTGTACATAACGTGTAATACAAATGTAACGCGTCAAGTATCACAATGGCTCAACGCGCATTGAGCTAACTTAGCCGGCGGCCTTTACTACATTTCCGGCAGTCATTGCAAAGACCTCCGGCTTCACATGATCACATCAATGATGACCCCAGACAGTGGCTAGTTATCCACGTATATATTTGGTTAGTTATTTAATTTGGTATTTTTGTAATTATAATTAAGGATATATTATTTCTGAATTTTATTGTATTATTTTTTTATTAATAATAAGATTGATGATTTTGATGTTTACTCTTAATGAAGAATTAATCCTATGATAATAAGTAATTAAGTAACTAAATTTTATTTATTAAAGAACGAGTTGCTTAATTGATTGCACAATCATCATTGATTACCGAAACAATTTGACTGCTTTCTAATAAAAAATTAGATTGCTGTCACCATGCGTGCATTCGTTTAACTCTAAAAAGATAATTTCAAGCTCCCACGTCACCATGCATTATTATTTAATCTTATTATAAAAAATATCATTATACTTCTAAATGACAAAGAGTTATATTTTGGGCTCATCAACAGTTTTTATTAGGCCCAATAACAAAATCTAAAGAAGATTGGATGTGAGGTAATAAAAAGTGGAGCCACACTGTGACCCACAAAATCCACGCTCTAAAGTCACTCTTGTCAAAAGTGCTTTTTTTTACTCAGAAACTCAAGCACTTATCTCTTCAAAAGCACTTATCTGTGTCTCTCAACTCACCTGACACATCAATTACCAACCTTTACTTCCCTCCACCCATTTCAACGGCTCTATCAGCCCCGCTGCCGTCTCCGCCCTTGAAGAACTAGTAGTATCTCCACTCTTACAAAGTCCAGTCATCTCTCAAATCGAGTTAAGAGATTGTTTAAATACATTTAATATACTACTATGTTTTTACTTTTCTCTACATCTCAGATTAATTGGTCTCGGTGTTAATCATTATCAGATTTATCACTCTTGAAATTATTTCTCATTTAAAAAAAAAAAAAAATGAGAGTAATAATATAATTTAAAAGTTGAAATCAACTTTAATCTCACTAATATTACATTCTTAGCAAACTAATATGATTATTGTTATCATTACAGGATGATTATTGATCCTAATCCAGACAACGTTTGAGCTTCACAGTTAGAACCCCAATTACATACAACCAAAACCTCATCAAACTATTCCCATGACCCTAAACCCTAGTTTAAACCATCAGACCAGCAGGACCTCCTTTTAACTCCACCGTATAAAACAAAAGCTTTTGCTGTGGGCAACATTTGCTGGTCTTGTCACTGGCGAGCCTAGACTGGGAGAGAGACCACATCAATGGAGAGCTTAATTAAGCAGCTCTCAGTGTCCACCAAGATGAAGAATCGTGTTCCTGGTTCACCAAGCTTGATCATGGTAGGACCACTATATATCACTAACTGGGTTTGTAGTTAGGCAATTCATGATGCAAGTTGGGTGACTTCCAGAACATTATACTCCGGCGTGTATTTGAACACTGTTCCAAGAAGACATATATTGTTATTATCATAGCAAGCAAAGCCATAAAACTAACACAACAGAATAATTGTCCATTAATCCATGAAAGAAAAAGAAAGAAAAAAAGGCAAAGAAAGATCAAATAAACATAGCTTTAATGCCTCAGATACACAGGCCCATCATGGGGTTCCTATTAAGAATTAATTTTAAAAAGTACTTTCCTCAACAATGTTATTCAGAGGTTTTCATAATTCGAATGTTTCGTGTATTATGCAAAGGATGTAAACTTCTCTTTGAAATTTATTTTGTCTGAATTAAAACATAGAGGCTTAGGATTTCTACAGAAAAGATTACTAGATGTTATCCTCTTGAATACTCCTAACTCTGCATATGTAAAGCCAGTCTTTCTTGAATACTCCTAATTTCTGTATATCCATTTGTAACAAGCTACAGACAAACTCTTGAATACAGACTGATTAGGTGATGGTGCTGGTGATTCTGAATTCCATGGTGTTTAGTTCTGGTTCAAGGAGGTGAAGGTGCAGGTCTGCAAATTCTACAAACGGCATTTAGGGTCTCATTCTAATGTTCTCTGTTCTAAGAACAGAGAGCTCACGTACTAAAGTTCCTGTTCAAAGATATATAGGGTTCTTAATTCTAGCGTTCATTTTCATAACAAATAACATTCCTTAATCTCTTGCTAAAGGGGATAACAAGTTCATTCACTGATGTATTATAAGCTCTTTGACATATCTTTTAGGATAAACTGCGAGCTGCTATGTTCCTGTTAGTTGTTCTCAATCAATTTTATTGATAGACAAATTTCTACTCTATCATAGCCAAGCAAAGCGATAAACTAAACCAACAAAAAATTATCCATTAATCCAGCAAAGAAAAACAAAGGATAAAAGGGAAAGAAAGAGCAAAAAACATAGCGCTGATGGCTCAGATACACAACCCATCATGAGGTTCCCAGAGCCTTAAAAAAACCCACTCCAGCTTCACAAAACAAGCCTCTTTTCCTATTTTTATCTATGCCCACATACAGCCACAAGTATTAAGACGAAGATAATTTTTATGTCGCAACATTGTAGGAATCAGTTAGAAGGGTATCAAGAAAAATGAGCAATATTTCCAACCGAGCTGCAAACTTATCAAAGTAAGTCAGAAAAAGTTTGCAGCTTATTTACCAAGGGAAGTAAAACAATTTTTCCTAGAATCATAATGAACTAAATCAAAAGATGCATGGTAATTCTAAGAAAACACTTTGAAGGTTCAGGAATGTAAGTCTAATGCTCTTCTCATCCGGTTTTTAGTTCTGGTTTTTAAGGAGGTGAGGGGCAGGTGTGCATGGTTTTCAGTCATACAAAGAGAATAATTTATAGAATCTGTTGCCATCATAGCGTAGAAATGAAGATATATAAAGGATAGAGAGAGAAGCAAACCCAAAGAGTCATTGGGGTAAAAAGTCTTGCTGTCCGCCCATGCCGCAGATCAGTGTCCGGAGACCAGCCAACATCATAATTGCTGCATCAGTAGATACAAATTGAGAAGGCATCAATGCCACTATGGTCACCATTGCACCACTTTCAAAACCGCGCAACTCAACGTCATCCTTGCAACAATTTCTGAAACCAAACAAACATGCAGTTGATGATGGCCAATTCAACTACTAATCAGGAGTTTAATTCAATTAAGGCAGAGATACACTAACAACTAACATGCCTAAAATGAAATTCAATGGTTATCTAGCTGACAGAGCCACCTCAGCTGGTGATCTGTGAACCTCTGTTAAGAAATTAACAAAACAAAAACAAATAACCAAACAAACACATAGCAGCAAGATTATCAGATACTCTATATAAAAGTAGTTGAAGATCAAATATAAAAGTAAACAACCCAGTTTGAATTAAAAAAATTGGGAAAAAAAAAAACCAGATCTTGCACCCAAACAAAGAACAAAAACCCCCAATCTTACCAACCAACACCCGAATTTAGATCACATATAGAAAACACCATGTAGCAAGACCTGGATTTACCTGAAGATTTAGATTGTGGGGACTCTGCACTGCGCGGCTTCTCGATGAACTGATCTGAGCTTGCCATTGCCAGTTATATATAATATTATCTACTAATATAATAATCGCACTAAAAGACAAATTTTTTTCATGAATTTAAAATAATAACAATTATGAAAATTGATTAATTATATTAATCAGGAGAGAGATTCCTTCTGGGATGTTCGAGAAACCAAACTAAGAATGTTTCTTATAACTTTTATGTAAATTTTATTTTAAATATTAAAATGATTGATAAGAATGTAAAAAAGAAACAGCTTTGACCACTCCTATCTACAAATAAAAAATGAAAGTACGCCTTAATGGATTTAACCTCCACTTTCATGGCAGAGAACATAATTTTAAGAATATTAATTTTTTATATAAAGTAGGACCCATAACCTATTATCTGTTAAAATTTTGTATAAAGAACGGAGATTTTGCAATTTTTGAGGCAGGGAAACGAAAGAAAGGCAAAATTTATAAACGACTAGGCCATAGATATTGAACTTACCAAAATCTGCTGACATAGTCGGCCACGTTGCTCTGAATATGAACGCCGAGGTGGATCCATGATGAAAAATTGATAATTGTACTATCATGATATCATCCCACCGCGGCATCTCCACTGGTGCCAACAAAACGACAACCATTGAGATAGGCAGCTGCATAGATAGTTTTTTTTCTCAGTTTCAAAGAGAAAGGAATGGTAAGAAAGATGACAGTCAAGATGGGTGGCTTAGGCTTCTTTGAATTTATTTAATTTGTTGATGGGCTTTTTGGGAAATAATCACTAAGGCCTAAGGGTAATTATTTTCATTTTAATTAACTATTCTATTTTTGTGATTTTGAG